TTTGTTTCTCCTTGATGAAGACCCACCCCCTTGGTTCACTCTACTTCCCTGTAAGCCAACCAACTTCCCCCCTTCGATCACTGCTTGCAGAGGCAATAAAGTCATTGTTTCAAATTCATGCATTCTTTATTAATTCGTCACACAAATAGGGGGATAACTGCCAAGGTAGCCCAGAAGAGGTGGGGGAGGAGGGAAGCACTGGGTGGGGGTGGTGGAGGAGGGAAGGACAAGGCCACACTGCACTTCAAAACATATTGAATGCCAGCCTTCTGTTGCTTGGGCAGTCCTCTGGGGGGGAGTGGTTGGGTGCCTGGAGGGGGGCCCCCACCCCCTGTGTTCTTGGGCATCTGGGTGAGGAGGCTGTGGAACTTGGGGAGGAGGGCAGTTGGTTACACAGGGGCTGCAGCGGCGGTCTGCTCCTGCTGCCTTTCCTGCAGCTCAGTCATACGCCGGAGCATATCAGTTTGATCCTCCAGTAGCCTCAGCATTGCATCCTGCCTTGTCTCCTCTTGCTCCTGCTACCTCTCCTCTTTCACATCCCTCCTGTCCTCGTGTTCATTTTGTGCTTTCCTGGACTCTGACATTGCTTGCCTCCACGCATTCTGCTGAACTCTTTCAGTGCTGGAGGACTGTATGAGCTCAGAGAACATTTAATCGCGAGTGCGTTTTTTTCGCCTTCTTATCTGCGCACTCCTCTGGGACGAGGTGATACGGGGAGTGTTAAAACATTTGCAGCTGTGGGAGGAAAAAAAGGGAGAGTAGTATTTAAAAAGACACATTTTAGAGAACAATGGGTAGACTCTTTCACAGTGAACCAACCTGTTAACATTACATAGCACATGTGCTTTCGGTACAAGGTCGTGCCCCTCCAATTCTCTGGGATGGTCGCTTTACCCCTCCTGCCCCCAGTGGCTAGTAGTGGAGATGATTTCTTTTCAGCCACAGGCAAACAGCCCAGCAGGAACGGCCGCCTCTGAATGTCCCTGTAATAAAATTCCCCTATTTCAACCAGGTGACCATGAATATATCACTCTCCTGAGGATAACGCAGAGCGATAAAGAACGGATGTTGCTTGAATGCCAGCAAACACTGGGACCATACGCTGCCATGCTTTGTTATGCAGTGATTCCAGACTACGTGCTACTGGCCTGGCATGGTAAAGTGCAAAGGCTTTGGGAGTACCTCCAGGAGAACTTCACTGAGATGTCCCTGGAGGATTTCCGCTCCATCCCCAGACATGTAAACAGACTTTTTCAGTAGCGATGTTGATTTCAGCGCTAATCCCCTCATTGGGGAGGAGTATAGCAATCGATTTTAAGAGCCCTTTAAGTCGACAAAAATGGCTTCGTCGTGTGGACAGGTGCAGGGTTAAATCGATCTAATGCTGCTAAATTCAACCTAAACTTGTAGTGTAGACCAGGGCTTAGTGAAATATGACATCTTAAACTGGGACAAAATATCTTTTTATTGAAAAATGTCTGCCAAACAGCGGAGAAAACTACCAAAGAGGTCCAGACAGTTCTTGAGGATTCCTTTAACATCAAGACAAAGGAAGCTGTGCTCTTCCTGAAAGATTCATATGGTGGTATTTAGTCTTTGGGATTTAATACATCAGTCCCTGGAAGGAAACAACCCAGACTGCTGAGTTATTCTAGAGAGGGGCCCTCTGCTTACTGCTATACCCAACAACGATCTTCTGAACCACCTAGAAAAAGTAGGTTTCAGAGTAACAGCCGTGTTAGTCTGTATTCGCAAAAAGAAAAGGAGTACTTGTGGCACCTTAGAGACTAACCAATTTATTTGAGCATAAGCTTTCGTGAGCTACATGCATCCGATGAAGTGAGCTGTAGCTCACGAAAGCTTATGCTCAAATAAATTGGTTAGTCTCTAAGGTGCCACAAGTACTCCTTTTCTTTTTTCTAGAAAAAGTAGAGATTTCAATGGAGGAAAGCCTCTGCATAGTCATGCTGTGTCCATCTTCAAGTAGCAAATCTGACATATTAGTCAAGAGCCACTTGGAGCATTTAGAGGATCTATTTACTTTCTTTCCCTTTCCTGTCCCTTCTTTTGGCAGTTGCCTTTTTTTTATTTTCCAGAAACTTGGAATCACATCACCTCAGGATCTTAGAAATCATCAGAATGTGGGTGTTGCATTCAATTTCAGAACCTTCCTAACACCCAACCCTCTTCAGGAACCACTCATGAGAGATTATTAAAAATGAGTTTACATCTGAATCTTGGAGCAATAGAAGTGCCTCTAGAATTCAGAGAGAAGGGGTTTTACTCACATTTTCTAATCCTAAAGAAGGGGTATGCCGCACAGTTCTGGATTTGAGCTGTCTCAACACCTTAATCTGCCACTTCAGATTCAAATCCCTAACCTCTCTAATCCCATTTTTAGATCCCCAAAACTGGTTCATGCTGTTAGCCTACAGGACACATGCTTTCACATATCAGTCTACACTGCACACAGAAAATACCTGCAATTCCAAGTGGGAAATTACCACAATTAGTGCAGAGTCCTGCCCTTTGGTCTTTCAGCAGCACCAAAAGTAATTACCAAGTGCTTGGCATTCATGATGGCTCACCTGAGAAAGCAAAGGGTACAGGTAGACCCGCACCACAATGATTCCCTCATTTGAGGGAGTCAATGCAACAAATGAATGACTCCATTTCATATGATCCTACAACTTTACACTATGCTGGGTCTCAGAAGCAATAGAGAAAAGTCAACTTTAGTGCTAACCCAAAGGATAGAGTTCGTAGGGGTAGTGTTAGATTCCACAACAGCAAGAGCTTATCTGCCATAAAACAGATTCAGTAACATTGTAGACCTCATCAACCAGCTGCAGGGTCACCCTTAAATGTCAGTAAGAGTTTGCCTCTGTTTTCTTGATCACATTGTTTTCTGTATTTACATCACATGGCATGCCAGACTATATCCACCTTACAAAAGTAGTTGAAAATGGCGTATCTACCAAACAGAGATCATATGAACATGGGGGTACTAATCCCCTGAGAAGTCCTCTAATAGTTAAACTGGTAGAAGGACTCTGCAGGTTTGCAAACGTGGATACTGTTTTCTCCACTTGTCACCAGGGCACTGCTAATAGATGCTTGTGTGCTCAGCTGAAGAGCTTACCTGCACTACCTTCAAACCCAAGTCCTATGGGCTCCTGAAGAGAATCACCTTCATATAATATACTACAGCTCTGAACTGTTTGACTAGCTTGCACAGTATTTCTCTCTGTGCTGAGTGGACTGACAGATCAGGTGATGACAGACAACACAACGGTGTCAGCAGACAGGGAGGAGCACAATCATCAACTGGAAGGGATAGGGATGTTCAGGCACTTATGGCTGCTCTACCTTACATTGCTTTCCATAAGGATAAGGTGACCCTTCGGACTAACCCTGCATTTTTACCAGAGATTGTTTCATGCTTCCATTTAACTCAGGTGATTCATCTGCCGTTTCCTTTCCCAAACTGAACCATGGGGAAGCCAAACTGCATACCTTTGATGTAGTTAAGGCTGTCATTTTGCTGGGCATAACAAAACCATTCAAAAGCTCCCCTAGGCTAATTATAGCATTTTCAGATAGAATGAAGGATCAGGCAGTATCTAGCCAAAGATAATTTAAATGGGTCTCTAATTGTATTAAATCATACTATGAGTTAGCTAGATTAGATTTACTCATGCAGTTTGGATCCCACTCCATCAGCAGAGACAACCTGTTGATTCTCTGAGAAGCTATGAGGGGATCAGTTCACATTTTATACAGTATAATTCACTGGTAGAGGCATCAGTATCAGACACGCACTTTGGCAGAGCAGTACTCCAATCGTTATTGAAATAGACTGCAAGCACCAATCCTCCTTTCTACAAGGTCACTGCTTGTGAGTCACCAGAAGTGGAATACATTTGAACAATCACTTGGAAGAAAGAACAGGTACTTTAGCCTCCAGTAAATGGGATTATTTGAGTTGTGTTGTCCATGTATATTCTATGATCTGCCGTTCCTCCCTGCTACCATGTAGTCCTGTAACACCTAGATTCTGTCTTGAGAAAGAAACTGAGGGACAGTTGGGCCCACTCTGCTGTTTTGCTCCCTGCATGTAGGGTGCAGATGCAACCTCAATGGATTTTGCTGATAAAAAGAATCTGATCTCATGTGCATGGTATGCATGCACTCCAGAAATGAAATACATATGGACACACACCTTGAAAAACCAATATTAATTTATAGTAGGGCAAGTACTTGTTTTCTCATTTAGATCTTAGTAGGGTACTGTTGCACAGCTTACTTTTGAATGAAGTAAAGTTTTTTTAGAGTACCCTAGTTCCTTGCAGCAAGAGAAATGGAGCCTAGCTGTTTTTCAGTTGCCAGTGTCTCAAAGTATTTCATCATGCAATCTTCCCATTAAACTTGGGTTCTGAAACTATTAGTTCACAGCCATTGGAAGGGTTTTTTATGTATTTTAGATAATTTTACATGTAGTGTTTTACAAATGTTAACTAATTGTCACAGCACCCCTGCGAAATAGGTATCTTCCAGATGGTGGAAAAAATCCAGAAAGGTTGAGTAATTCAGTGTCAGAATTAGAATGTTGTGGTCTCTTGTTGTCAGTCCAGTAGTGTTCTCACACTGTTACATTCTAACCCTTATAACCAGGTGCTCAGCTAAGTAGCTAGCCCAGCTGCAGGCAACCACCTGTGAAGGTAGCTGGGAGTAGCCTTAGCTCCATAAGGTACATAGAAACAGATGCCAGAGGGAGTAATTGGGTATGTTTTTGATAACCTGTGATCTTTCAGAAAATTACTCACTGGGCTTTGCATGCCAAAAGGCCAGTTCTGCAAAAGAAGCTCAGGTATTAAGTAAGAAGAAAATAAATGTTTAACATGATCATGTCAGACTAACTTATGAAATAAGTGTTGTTTTCTTTAAAAAAAAAAAAAAAGAAAAAGAAAATTTTATAGTTTATCTCTTTTTTTCTTCAGAGGTGGCTGGATCCAAACAAACCAATCAGGAAACAATTAAAAAGTGAGCAAATATATTTATTTGGTCTGTTTCAAATATAATTTTTATTGAATAAGGATTTTAAAGTAACCTGATTAATTAGAAATGCTTTTGTTAATTCTAGGAGGATCTCCTTACAGTTTGAACTTTAGAGTCAAATTTTTTGTAAGTGACCCTAACAAGCTCCAGGAAGAATATACAAGGTAGGTTTAGGTAGTTTACCATTGCAAAATTCTTCTAGGAAATTTAGAAGTTGAACTAAGTATTAACAAAAAGCATAATTAGTTTTCTGAAAGTGTTACTGGAATTGTCTCTCTTAAACCTGCTTTATTCATGTTTTTTTGTAATGTGTTTAGGATTTTCCATAGCTGATGATTAAAATTCACATGCTGTAAGCACAAAAACCTTTAAAATGAAGCCTTTGAATACATAGTTTAGAAATATAGTGTACATATGAAATAATCTCACAGAAAACATTGTTCAAGTAGAAATAGGAAAAGAAAAGTAAGGAAGGGAAGAGAAGAGAAGAAAAAAGGAAACTTTCTTTCTCCTATTCATCCATGGGTACAAATTTAATTTTAACCCATATTTGTCTCCTGTTTGAAACATCATAATTTCTCTGAAATTATGCTAACTCATCATTCATTTTGAGTATTAGTTCCTTGGTAATTTTTTTCACTCATGTATATCAATCAGTCTTCAACTTCACTTTTATTAGTATAATATAGAAACTTATGGTGATATAGCGGCAAACTTAGCTAGTGCAAATATAGTAATTTCCGTGTGCCTATTGTGTAATAATGTGCCTAACACTCAGATTTTTACAGGTATGTAGGCATTTTTGCAAGCAGTGTTGCAGTACCTAACTGATTTAGGAGCTTAAATCTCATTTTCAAAAGGGATTTAGGCAACTGTAAAAAACTTTTTGAAAATGAGGATTAAGCTATTAAATCAGTCAGGTTTTGCAGTGTTGAGTACAGCAATGCCTGAATAGTTCTACTAATCTGGGCCTAAATTGTTTAAAGTGAATGCTCAATTGGTACCAGATTAAAAAGTGGTGAATGTCCTGTGTTCTCAAGAGGTGTGCGCAAAATTTTCAAACCAAGGTGTGTAAATGTAGATGCCTTCTCCATTTTTAGGCACCTAAGTATAAGCAGTCTGATTTTTTTCAAATTGCTGAGCATCTACGACAGAAGGTGACTTCATTGGGATTTGTAGATGCTTGGTCCCTCTAAAAAACCAGGAAGGCCATTTTTTATTTAGGTTCCCAAAGAGCCTAAATTTTCCTATCTCTGTTGTTAGAACAGGCAATTTTTTAAATTTTCAAAACTTAGATGAAATATATGATGAGATATTTTATGACATATTTGCAGAAATTGATAGCCATTTTCTTACCAGCATTGACTGTTGCTAATCAATAATTCTGTAGATGCTATCTTTCCAATCTTTCTGGCTGTGTGTAACTTGGCACATAAGGCAGATGAAAATGTCCTAAAATTGCTGTTAATATTCATGGGACCAACAGACATGAGCAACAAAGGGGCATATTTTTGGCTACCCGTTGATCCCCTGTCCATTTAAATAAACTCTTGCTACCAAACAATCTATTTTTAACATTTATTAAAATTGCTAGCTGAAAGGTTTTTAATTTAACATAACTCCATCTTTGTTGTTCTCACTATTTAAGAAGTGAATGCATTGTGCAAGCTATTTTAGACCTACATTGCTAAAGTTGCTTTAATTTCTACTGATTTCCCATTTTGTTCAACAACGTAGAAGAGATTTACGTGCCATAAGTGATACCTAGTTAGCTAACAACTAATTAACTTCACTGTACTTACAACACATTGAACACAGAATGAACTCTGTTTAAGAAAGCTTCCTCATGATGTCCTGTAAGTACAATAGAACATTGCCACAGTAAGTGAACCTAAGCTATGTCGACTCCGGCTACATATTCACGTAGCTGGAGTAACGTAATTTAGTTCGACTTGCCGCGGTAGTGTAGACAAGGCCTTAAATTCACACCTGTGAAATATTCCCCCAAAATTTTGTTTTGCATCATTTTAACACTTACATAAATTGAAGCACAAAACATAGGAAACAGGAAGTTAAATTTACTTGTTAAAAAGCAAGATAGACTTATTAATAAAATTAAATTAAATTAAAAAATAAGCTTGTTTTCCATATAGTCCACTCTTTTCTCTACACCTTGGTGTTTTAAGATGGAGATAAGGCTTTATATTAAAACAATTTTTTATCTATCATGTTAAGATTGGCTAAAGAATTACAGGTGGTATGGCCTTCAGTCTGTAGTCTTCTGTCAGTTTTAATACCTTCAGGATGACATGTAAAACTGTACTTACTATTAAGTGTGATCAGCTGAAGATCCTATAGTACTTTTTGTGGGTATTAGGGGTGTGTTAGGCCCAATGTCCTTGATAAGTGCCAGTTTGCAGAATTCCATTCTGGTCACTTTACATGCACTCTCTTTCTACTCCTGGGTACAAAATGTGGTGTTTCTTCCCCTAAATAGCTGCCACATTACACCCCAGAGGTAACTGCATTTCACTTATGGATGGGTTGGTTCCTCGGTCTGTGCATCACATCTGTAAAAATGCTTGTGGGGTTCTTCACTATTGTTAATCTATTTTAAAAGTCCATATCAGGAACCCTTACATAACTATTTTGAGGCAGTTGTTGTTCACATACCAATTTGTAATAAAATGAAAGAATAGGTAAAAATCCTCTTAATTTTTAATGCAATAAATTAATTCTAAATGTTTAATATTTACTGTCATGACAGAATTCAATCTGTTAAATATTTTAGTACATACAGTACTTTTGATAATATAAACAGCTACATAAACAATTATTTACTATTAATTTACTGTCCCAAGGCCTGAGTTGTATGAATGCTTGTGTTGCAACTGTCAAAGCAGAAGTGGAAGAAGAAAAATACATGATGGGATCATTACCGGGGCCTGGGATGTCCCAAAGCAGTGTTTTATGTACAAGAAAGCAAGAGTGATATTTAAGTTTTGTGCTTGTGTGGGTGTGATGAAGCAGCCTCTGGTGGGACACAACTGAGAGTATCAATTCAGGACAAATTGCTTAGAGTAGGGCAGTCACAGCCCAAGGCTGGGTGTCCTTTATTATTAAGGCAAACCAAACCAGCCAAACAGAGAGGACTTCGGTTTTACCACACTGGCTAACCAGAAGTTTTATATAAGCAATTCCCTTAGATACTCCAGTTCCCTTGTATCACCACCGGCACCACTCCTTATGGGGATTAACGGTTATGAAAATCAATACCCCAGTAAAAGAAAAAAGGTTCTCCTGATCCCAAAGGACCAAGCCCCAGACTCAGGTCAATATACAAGTCCGATCTTACCCACAAATCACGCTGTTGCCAATCCATTAGAATCTAAAGGTTTATTCATAAAACGAAAGAAATAGATGAGCTAAAATTGGTTAAATGGAATCAATTACATATAGTAATGGCAAAGTTCTTGGTTCAGGCTTGTAGCAGTGATGGAATAAACTGCAGGTTCAAATCAAGTCTCTGGAGTACATCCACAGCTTGGATGGGTCATTTAGTCCTTTGTTCAGAGTTTCAGTTTGTAGCAAAGTTCCTCCAGGGATAAGAAGCAGGACTGAAGACAAAATGGAGGAGTTTTCAGGGCCTTTTATATCCTCTGCCATTTGGAAGGACCCCTTTGTTCTTACTGTGGAAAATCACAGCAGCAAGGTGGAGTTTGGAGTCACATGGGCAAGTCACATGTCCATGCATGACTCAGTTCTTTACAGGCAGAGCAGCCATTGCTCACATGCTACCTTGAACGTTCCCAGGAAAACTCCTCATGTGGATTGGAGTCTCCAAGTTCCATTGTCAGTTAACAGAGTAACGCCGTGTTAGTCTGTATTCGCAAAAAGAAAAGGAGTACTTGTGGCACCTTAGAGACTAACCAATTTATTTGAGCGTGAGCTACAGCTCACTTCATCGGTGAAGTGAGCTGTAGCTCACGAAAGCTCATGCTCAAATAAATTGGTTAGTCTCTAAGGTGCCACAAGTACTCCTTTTCTTATTGTCAGTTAAGTGTTTCTTGATTGGACACTTAATCTGAAGAGTCCCTTCTCAATAAGATTCTAAAAAAAAATATGGCGGGGCAGGATAGCTCAGTGGTTTGAGCATTGGCCTGCTAAACCCAGGGTTGTGAGTTCAATCCTTGAGGGGGGCCATTTAGGGATCTAGGGCAAAAATTGGGGATTGGTCCTGCTTTGAGTGGGGGGTTGGACTAGATGACCTCTTGAGGTCCCTTCCAGCCCTGATATTCTATGATTCTAAGATGATCAAATACATCACTGGTGCTACTTAGAATCAGAGCTCTGAGAAAGAGTCCAGCGGAGGACAACAAAATGATTAGGGGACTGGAACACATGACTTATGAGGAGAGGCTGAGGGAACTGGGGATGTGTAGTCTTCAGAAGAGAAGAATGAGGGGGGATTTGATAGCTGCTTTCAACTACCTGAAAGGGGGTTGCAAAGAGGATAGCTCTAGACTGTTCTCAGTGATAGCAGATGACAGAACAAGGAGTAATGGTCTCAAGTTGCAGTGGGGGAGATTTAGGTTGGATATTAGGAAAAAGTTTTTCACTAGGAGGGTGGTGAAACACTAGAATGCGTTACCTAGGGAGGTGGTGGAATCTCCTTCCTCAGAAGTTTTTAAGGTCAGGCTTGATAAAGCCCTGGCTGGGATGATTTAATTGGGGATCGGTCCTGCTTTGAGCAGGGGGTTGGACTAGATGCCCTTCTGAGGTCCCTTCCAACCTTGATATTTTATGATTCTATGAAACACACTGAGATGCAAGTACCTTTTGATAGACACCTTACTTGACCTCCTTTGTACAAGATTTGGTGCAACTATAGGACCTGGTTGCAACAATGATCTATACGGTCACAGTTCCTGTCAATAATGTCATAGTGGGGCATTTGTTAATCGAGGCATCAAAACAAAAAATACAAATGCCAATATTGTGACTCAATGTGAGTTATTGTTTCCAATAGAAATAATGGCTTATGATAAAACAGAAGAATGCAGTCTCATTAGAAATCATAAGGGAATTTGCAAGAAGTGCGAGATTCACCTGTTGCCACTATACCCCTTATTATGGGCGTCGTTCTCATTTGTATTGTGCGCTTTGTCACCTTTCTAATTTAGATATTAATGTTCACTTCCTTAAAATCCTCTAAACCTTAATGAAGGGTTGGAGGAAACTTAGTATATATAACCTTTGGGTGAATATATTATGGGGACATGTTCAAATTTATCTCATCCTGCACAAAGTCTCTTTCCTTTTTCAAAGAGGCCTACATTTTCAAATATGACTCCATTTTGGGTGTCTTCATTTTTGAGTGCCCAACTTCAGACAACTTAGAGGGCCCTGGTTTTCAGTAGCTGAGTTTTTCAGCACTTTCTGGAAACCAGGGCCCTTTAAGTTATCCCAGTTTGTGCACCCAAAAATGGAGGTACCCAAAAATCAGTAGTTGCATTTGAAAATGTGAACTGTAGCTTATACTCGTAGTATATAATACGGACTCAAAGAAATACACTTAAATATAATAAAGGTTGCCTTTTTTTGGGTCATAAAATAGCTGCAATAAGTGAGTAACTTGCTGTCATCTGTTTTCTGTCACTAAATGTACTTGATTGAAAACAGTCCCCTTGTCTTGAATTTTTCATCTGTTTATTTTGCTGCTTATTTCCCACCTTAAGAGTAAACAGTGGGAGGAGCAGATCAGCTATTTTAAACAGGCTGTTCTCATTTAAGTCATTTAAAATAAAAGAAGAAAATACTGAAATATCCAGTTTATAGAATAAAAAATTATGGAAGGTAGGAACAATTTCAGAAAGCCTTTAACATAATGGAATAAGATTTTGCACTCAGTTTTTCTAGATTGAGGGAGGAAGACAAACCACTCAACCCTGATATTAAATTGAAACAATAAATTGGTGTCAGATATCCTCAGGTGCTAAATTAATTTCTGCTTCTGTATACCTGGAACAAAAATAGAACAGGGTTTATATATGTGTAATATGGGCTGAGTCAGGAAAAAATCTTCAGAATTGGGTGCCTAAAAGTAAACGCCTAAATCGTCCAATCTTATAAATGCTTTAGTACTTCTGAACAGCAGGCAACTTTTAGTGAGGTGCCTGAACACAGCTTTGTGTGGCTTCATTTACGGCACCAAAGTTTGATGGTTTTGTTCTCTATTTTGTTTTTCACAAGGTAGCCATTTCCTATTTTCTCCATTGGTTCTATCTTTCGGTGAAATTTGAATATTAATTGTGATGTCTTCATGAACTGTATCGTAAATTTGGATGTTCTGCAGAAGTAGATAATTTTAAATTTATGGATATATACATGACTTTAATTGCGATCTCATATTAATAGCTACCTCTCAGAGCTTAAGAAATAATGATATCTGGTGAAATGATTCTAACACAATAGTCTCAAAAGTGATATCAAATATTTCAGCTTTCTATTAAATTTAGGAAGACATTTCTGTCTAAAAATACAATCAAATTTCATCAACCCATTGTAGTATTTTTGTTTTTTAAGGTACCAGTATTTTCTGCAAATTAAACAAGACATTCTTACTGGAAGGTAAGCCTCTTCTATTATGCTGACCAATATATACAATATTATGACCAATTTGCTGAGATTGATACATTATTTAATTTTTAGCAATTAATAATTTTACATAAAGGTTATGAGCTATATAATGTTTGCTGAAGAACTGATAAAATAGAGTTTCTTTTAGAGTACTGGCAAAAGGAAATACTTATAATAAAAATGTCTCTGAAAAACTTATGCTTTACTGTTCATATCTGTGTGTGGTAAATAAATTAATTAAATCAGAAGATTTTCAAAATGTTCATAATTTACATCAGGTGTACAGTTTTGTTTTTTTAATTATAGATTGCCCTGTCCTTATAATACTGCTGCTCTTTTGGCTTCCTACGCTGTTCAGTGTAAGTATAATTACTAACTAGGTATGAGTACATAGGTTATTTCAATTATGCCGTTTATTTTTCTGGCTTTTCAGTGATCAGCTAAGTTACCATAAGTTAATGAATAGTAATCAGCATACACAAATGGATGTGTGATGAGCTATACCTAAATCTGTGCAAAAATAGGTATTTTTTCCATCAGTGAGGAAAGGTACACCTTTTTTTCATGGATTTCATGGTATTTTCATTTGAAGTGGTCATGAAATTGTATTACTAGTAAGCTCCCAACTTTCCATTTCCTCTTTATACTACTGTTTAAAGATAAAGTAATGCTTTTTGTGAATCTCTGTATGCTCTAAAATGTAATATGTTACTTCCTCAGTAATGAGACTGAAGCTGTTTGTAGATTTAGATATTTTTTACTTTTAACATCCAAAAGTGTGTGGAACAGGGAGTTCTGGTAGTGTCTAGCTGGATAGTTCCAGTTTACATAACTTTTATAAACACGGTTGCCAATTTTAAAAAAGATAGCAGAGCTGTAAAGTCTTGGATAGTGAAGTTTTTTGTCCTTTATTTTTTTCTCTTCCTTTTATAAAAATCTGGGCAATTACATGGAAAACTAACATGATGCGTAGTTACACATTGTAAAATCAGGAAATGACAAAAATCAAGATGTTAAAATTACCTTAATTCTGACCCTTGTGCGTTTCTGCTATTTTAGATACTTATGTGATATTTTTTACTATACTGCTTGCCAGAAAAACGTTCCATTAAAGTGTTTGTGAAAAGTACATAGCTAAGTCTATTTTATGACATATACTATATATAAAGTATATAGCTTAGATTAGTAATGAAACTTGCAGGAATATTTGATCCAATTATGTTTCCAGCCAAGTTAGCTTTGTATTTAAATGCCTTCTCATATGAGTTGCTCTTAAAAAAAAGTCTGGGCTTCTGGTTGAAATAAAATATATAGTACAAGAATGCTGCAAAATTATTAAAATACATACCTTAGAAAAGATCTTACCATATAAATCATGACAATGAAATAAGTCAAGTGAAAAGAATTTTTTTAAAAATAGAAAATGTGTATGTATATTCACGGGTGTAAAAACATTGTTTACTGAGCTTCAGAAATTATATTGTAATCTGACTGTATTGTAAGGGCTAAATTCCCTATAAGCTGCGTGGTTGGGCAGACGCCCAGCAGGCTATCAAGTGCTGAGCCATTCAGGTGTTCCTTCCCCCGCTCCTGTGTGCTGCTCCTGCCCTCTGCCTTGGAGCTGCTCCGGGGAGCTTCCTGCTTGCTGTGTAGTGCGGGGGTGGGGGAAGGGAGACGGGTGCTCATGTCAGGGTGTCGCCTTCCCCCTGCCCTCCCACCCAGTACACCATTTCCACAGAGTTGGGGGTGGAGGGACACAACAGGGCTCAGGACAGGGGGGATGAGGGAGCTTGCTGACAGCTGTTGCTGTGTCTGAACTTGATGGCCTACTTAAAAGGGCAGCATACTTAAAGTGGGGTCATCTGGGGTACTCCTAGGAACAAGGGGACATCAGATTTCGCGGGGAAGGGTTTATGTCACGGTCTGTGACGCATTTTTCTTTTTTCACGGCTGTGAAATTGGTAGGGCCCTAGCTATAAGGAAATAGAACTGGGACAGTCTTTAACTAAATGTGCTGCTTCACCAAAACAATAAATCAGTTACAAGATCTGAAGTTGATTTTTAAACTGGTTTTCAGTACTGTCCAATTATAGTCATGCGCTCAAAGCCTAACTTTTTAGCAATCCTACCCATTTTGTTTGTTGAAATGGGTCATACATTTTAGATTTAACAGTGCAGGAGCTGTGATCTTAATTAATGTGGCAAAATTATAAAACATGGTTTGAAAAATTATGATAGATTTCTATAATTCTAATCTTCAGTTGTTTGAATAAACTGAGAAATGAGCTGATACAAAAATAAGCAATTTTTTTGGTTTTGGAAATACCTTGGCAAGAATGCATTAGGTTAATTTTTCAAATCTTCTAGAGGATAAAATTATAACAGGTTTTAGAAAGATTGAAAATGTGAGTCCTCATAATGAAATGAAAACATGGACACACATAAACAGTGTTTGATTACAGAAATACTCTGGAGCAACAAAATTCTGTTTATTTAGGGTTAATCATTATATAGGTGGAAAGTAAGTTAAGTAAATTATAACATGAACATTTCATAAACCATTAGGCCAAGCCAGCACCTTTTTGTTGTTCAAGTCCTTTTTTAAAACTTCTTCTGTGATACCGACTGAGCTTATAACTCATGTTAAAGAAACAAGGTGAACTCAAACTTCTGTTGTCTTTGTCTGTTCTAGATCATAAGGTGTTTGAGGCCAGGACTGTATTAAACTTTGGGTGTTGTACAATGCTGAATATATTGTTTGCACTAAACAAGTAATAACCTTTCCCTTCAATCTCTTAGCCGAATTGGGAGACTACAACCATTCAGAAAACTTGCCAGGCTACCTCTCAGACTACTCTTTCATCCCTAGCCAGCCTCAAGACTTTGAAAAAGAAATAGCAAAATTACATCATCAGCATATGTAAGAATTTACAGAAAAAATTATTCTTATTTTGTCATATCACTGTCTACAGATGCTGTGCCTTTATAGAAATATTGCCTGAATAAACTTAACAGGTGAATTTTTACAATGCAGTATTTTTGCATGTCTTTATATGAAGTATTCCACAGTTTGGAGGAGAGGGAAGATTCAGAATGAGTATACTAATCTTTAAATTACTTTGAAGAAAGGCTATATATGAGACTTTATTTCTATAGTAGTGTGTGAATTTTTATAGGAAATTTTGGTTTCTTTAAGAAAAGTCTTCAGTCATTCATTATGATCTGCCTGCGTAAGGTTTCTGTGTACATTGCCTTTACCAGCAGCAGGGAATTACTGTAGAAGAGTGTATGTGGTTAGAAGTATATTAAAGAGGAGCTCTGTGAACTTCAAAAGCTCATACCTCCACCAACTGAAGTTGGTCCAATAACAGATATTATCTCAACTATCTTGTCTCGCTCATATTCTGGGACCGAGATGGCTACAGTAACACTGCAAATAACTATGGAAGATATCAAATTTTGCCATTTAAAATGGAACCTTCACAACATAAAGAAGGAGGAAGCCAGACATCCACTTCCTGATCAGATTCAACAAACAAAATATAATTCCCAGAGGAGTCACCAGAAAAACGTCAGAAAAACTGAGGAACCATCTCCTGAACTTTACATATTCCAGAAAGGACCACTTCAAACAAGAAATCATCACATTCTCCCACACACTGGAAGAAAAAAATCAGGAAACCCCAAACAACAAACAAACAAAAATCTGATGACAGCCAACAACACAAAAAGTGGAACCAACAATAACAACTTCAGAACCGACAACAGCACCCCTGGGAAAAACCAAGATACCATAACCCATCACATGGACACTAAATAACACCCCAACATCATCAACTTATCAAGACTACTTCTAATCTATACAGTAGTTAACTGTACTCTCCAAGGGACTGAATTTCTTGTCCACCACAGAACCTTATAGCGTACTAACATGTGGAAAATGAGAAGAATTCTTTTGATGACTCTTAAGGAGTCCTTTCACAACAAAGATGATGATACTCACAACTACCACACTTCTGTTGATAGTCATAAGAAAAAGTAATCAATTGACTGCACACAGGCACGCAGCAGACGAAACCACACACTTGATCATTACATTGATTACTTTTGGAGAAAAATTGAATGAACTCCTCAACAAATATTATATCCACGCAATCTCTCTGCCATCCAGAGGATTGCTGTACAGTCTCTGAAATCCAGTCATCAAATCGTGAACAAACCAATAGCCAAAGGAGGTGCCATCATAGTCCTTAATCATGATGTCTACGTCAATGAGGCCAACTCTGCCACCACCTAGCATAAAAAACTCAATGAAGGCCCCACACCGCAATTCACACAGGAATTTAAAGATACCATCAAATCCTTCCCCAGACAACTCCAAGAAAAACTCTACAACCTCATCAACCCCTGGTCTCCCACCCCAGTAACCATCTACATGCTTCCAAAAATGCACAAAAAAGGGAACCCAGACAGACCCATCATATCTGGCCATGGCACTTTCACAGAAGGAATATCAGGACTCGTAGAAACCATCCTCAAACTATTCGCCACGCAAAAGGTCAGCTTCCTCCAAGACACTGCCAACTTCTTCCAAAAACTCGACAACATTAACAGCCTCCCTCAGAATGCCATCCTTGCCACCACAGATGTCGCCTTCCTACACACCGACATCCCTCACCATGACGGCATCACTGCCATCACATTTAACGAACACTTTGTCCAAACCATGGGTATAAGGTGGCTCCCCAGTATGCCAGCCTTTTCATGGGCCAAGTCAAGGAAGAATTTCAGGGAAAATGCACCACAAAACCAGTGATATGCCTGAGATACATCAATCCTCTGGACAGATGAACTAAATTCCTTGATAAATTTCCCCCACAACTTCAGCAACCACCACCACCCATCAAACTCTCTCTAGAACACTCCCACACCAACATCAACTTCCTGGATACTGCAATCCACTTCAACAGTGGAACCCTCCAAACAGCTATATACAAGAAATCTACAGATCACCACTCTTACACACACCACAGATCCAGCAGCCATCCCAGACATGCAAAGGAATCTGTTATCTGTGGCCAGGCACTCAGATACTACAGAATTTGCTCTGAAGACAAAGTCTAGGATACACAGCTAAACACACTTAAAACCGCCTTCACTAAACAAGGACTCTCCACCAGAGAAGTAGATCACATCATGGAATGGGCCACCCAAATACTCCGGGAGGATCAATACAGAAATAAATACCACACTGACCACACACCCCTAGTTGTCATTTACGATCCCACATTGGAACCCGTGTAGGGTATCATTAAACAATTACAACTCATATTTATCTGCATCCTGAAAGAAATCTTTCCCAAACCCCCTATTCTGGTCTTCAAAGAACCCTCAAACCTAGTTAAGCTTATCAGAAGCAAGCTCCCCACAGCACCCGCCAACAGAACAACAGATGCAAAAGCTGCAGACATATCTCCACAGCTGTGATGATCATTATCCCGCACAACACACCTTTCAAGATTCATGGGTCTTGCACATGCCCATCACAGTGTGTGATGTATCTCATCCAGTGTGTCAAATATCCCAACAACAACAATGTTGGTGAAAGCAGACAACCCCTATGCTCTTGAATGAACTCTCACAGTAAAATGATAAAAAAACAAAAACATCCTATCACTCATGAGTGAACATTTTTCACAAAATGACCACTCCATATTGGTCCTCTCAGTACTCGTCCTCAATGGAAACATTCAAAAGGCAAGCTTGGCAAATTAAATTCTTAATTCTGCTAGACACTAAAATCCATGTACTCAACAGAGAAACTAGTTTTATGGCTCATTACAACAATGTTTAATACATCTCACTGCCTGCTAACCCTTAACTGACCCCTTCATTTTAAGTGGTATCTTATAGCATGTGTTAACCCCTTATGCTTAATAGTTTGTCCCAACTTGTAGTTAGCTCAGACACTCTAGTTACCTTCCCCAGACCAGAAAAAAAGCTCTGCAAAGCTTGAAACATTTACCTTCCACCAACAGAAGTTGGTCCAACTAGAGATGTTACCTCAGTACCTTGTCTCTCTCTCAGAAGTAGATAAAGCAATTTTGCAATTCATCAGATTTTATCAGTTATATGCAGTTGTATGAATTTCTGCTACAGAGCCAAAAGGATATGAAACAAAAAAAACATTGAAAGTAAATGCCCTAATTTGTGTAATAATATACTGCTGATAAACTTTCAGTTAGAGTCCATGAGTCTGTTAAGAAATATTTAATAGGGGTTGTACTCCGCTAACACATTTATTTATTACAGATAGGGGATACTGGTGATTTTATTAACTAACAAAATTGCCAATTAGTGACTGAAACTGAGCAATGTGGAATCAATCAAACATATTGCAAATTAAAAAGGTTGTGGCGGGGAGGGTAAGGAAAAACAAACAATTTGAACTTGGTGATTGTACAAATATTAAAATCTAGGGTGGACCCTGCAGAGAAGATATTATTTCAATTCAAAATATAATACTAATTGCAAGAGCAGTTTTTAGAGGCTTCACTGCCAACTCAAAGGTTTTCAGGCCCTTTAAGGCACCTATCACTGTGCCATTTGAAGTACAACGTATATATGTGCTGAGTATGTATTGCAGTCTTCCTTTAATTACATTTTTGTTGTGTGGAGGCAGAACTGGCAGAATTGTGAGTGTACACATGTGGAGACCAATCAACTAATTAACAAGTATCTGTGAGGAAAGTGCTTGAATCTCTAGCTACCAAAATTACTGCATGACAATCAGTGTATATGGTGGAGTCAAGGGGGAGTTGGTTTATCAGGGAAAAATGGAGTTAAAGTAATGAATTATTAAAATCTGCTTGAGCTGGCTAAGGGTTTTGGATATTTTATGTACTTTTGGGCTGCTTCGTATTTAACTCATCTTTGTCGTTATAGAGGCTTGTCTCCTGCAGAAGCTGAGTTCAATTATCTCAATACAGCACGTACCTTAGAACTCTATGGAGTTGAATTGCACTATGCAAGAGTAAGTTTGAATGATTCACACTGTAATATAAAAGTAGATTCATGATATTTTCAGGAACAGTTTAGTATAATTTGAATATAATGTTCAAGGCCCTAATTCAGCAGGCTATTCAGTCATGGGCCTAACTTTCAGCAATTTGAGTAGCCCTTATTTGACTTCATTGAGACTACTCATGCTTAAAGTTACGCAAATGATTAAGTACCTTGCTCAGTCTGAGGCCAAGTAAAGTGAACATCAGGCTGTGCCAATTATTTGCAACTGTATTGGATAAATGTGCTTGTTGAATGTCTCTTTGGCATTTAGGGAACTTTTGGCTTCTGAATTTTTAATTTGGCTTCAGTTAATATCCTATTAAACTGAATGGGAAGTTCTCACGTTTACTATCTCACTTAAGTTGCAAGTTCCATAAATCTTTGTATAATTTAATATTGTGAAGGTTACATCATTGCAACCAGGGCAATAATACACTTTTTAAATGGACAGTGCAGATTATGGCTAATATCGAAGTGTGTATCTAAGAGTTCATTATCTAAGTTCTTGTCAATATATTAAAATGCATCATTTGTAAGTAGGTCATGCATAGGAATAATTTCCCATCTGTTTCTTGAAGCCATACCAACACAGATTTTACTTAAACCTATAATCTTCAAACAGCATGTATTCTTCTATTAAAAACAAGTCATGTGTTCTGACTTCTGATCTTAATTCTCCATAAAGAAACTTGCTAAATAGGATTTCAAGTATTTACAACTTTTACATGACATGGATGCACCCAATCCTTGCTTATACGCATGTTGGGATATAGCAGGCATTTGATAGAGTCAAATTGAAGGACCTGCTATGACTAGAGTACAGAAACATTTTTAGAAAAGTATGGTTTGAAATAGAAAAAGGTTTATTTGTGATAGGCTCTCCCACTCCAAACCTAAAACTTAGGTTGACCTAGCTACGTCACTCAGGGATGTATGCCGTGTGACATAGTTAGGTTGACCTAACCCTCACAGTAGATGCAGCTAGGTTGATGGAAGAATTCTGTGTTAGACCTAGCTGCTGCTTTTCAACTGGGTGGATTTACTATAGCAATAGAAAAAACCCTTTTAGTCTCTGTAGTAAGTATCTATGCTATATCCACATAGCTGCAGCACTACACCCATGCCACTGTAGCGATTGGAGTGTAGACAATGCCTTAAGTACTGAAATTGCAACTTGCTTTCACATAGGAGTATAAGTTGTTAGTTGAGTTTATTGTTGGATTGCTACCAAGTCAGTTTACTGAGCCTGTGATTCATAGTCATCTGAGTTTGGATACACTGTGTAATATATTTCTTTTAGGTAATTTTCACTACTACAACTACTTCCAATAAGTTACCTTCTATTTCAAGGCTATTTAAGTAGATAATTCCATTGGAAGACAAGAACAGGAGGAGCATCTGTGTAAAACTGAAAAAAGATGCATTCTTCCAGAGTATCGATTACCTCCGTTTAAATTACTAAATCAGTATTAAAAGTGTCATAATCTAAAAAGGATAGTGTGCCTATGAGACAAACTGCAGGAATATGCACTTTCCCTTTAGAGCCTGCCGTAGCGGCTAAGAAACTTGGATTTTTGTTTAGATGTTATTTCCACTAATTATTACTTATCACTTTAGCACTTGAGCACGCTTTAGTTTGTCATTATTACAATAAAAAAAATTGGAATTATGGGAGGAGGAAGAGACAAATGTTATGATATAAAAAGGGATGATGCTGTGTAAAGTCTTGCAAGTGGTAAGTTGGAACCCCATGTTGATTGGGGAAGGAAGTTAAGGTTGTGGTTCATAGGATCAGAGTGACATGCAAAGAAGATAACTTCAGTTGTGTGTACTAGAGTGCATATGTATTAGAGTGAGGGAGACAGTTACTGTAGTACAGGTAAGTGAAAAGGGCACGGAACAGAGATTTAGCAGTGAGAACAGAGGTTTAGGTGGAAAAGGAAAGATATAAATTGCATTTGTGAGGGGAGTATTTTCTAATTGTGAAGGGAAAAAATAGAACCAAGGTAAAAAGATTCTACCTTGGTTCCATTTTTTACCTCAGTTTCTGCTCAGATTAATAGGAACTGTACCATTAAATGTTCATTGCATTAAAAACTTGCCCCATTAGGTTAATTAACATACGATTTTGCTGTGTGCGTGTGAGAGGGTATGTGGATGATCATATATAAAATATATATGGGTTTCTACAGTATATATTTTAATTGTTTTGTGTTGAATCTATTGTTTTGTTCTCTTTTAAAGGATCAAAGTAACAATGAAATTATGATTGGAGTGATGTCAGGAGGAATATTAATTTATAAGAACAGGGTACGAATGAACACCTTTCTGTGGTAAGGAAAACTGTTTTCAACAAATGCTTTTGTGTTTATTATTTCAAAATATGTTCTTCAAATTAATACCAGCAGCTTCATGATGGTAAAGTGATCTAAAACTATTTTAATATTTGTACCTCAGGTATGAGTGAGTCACTTCATATACTATGCACTGGATACTGAATGTGGATGCTTTTATGAATGATGATTTTCCTTCTGAAAACTTTTTAGGCAACACTGTTAAATGTTTGTAGTGCATAACATAGTTTTGCCACAGTTTTCCTGCAGGAATTTGGAAACTTACGTAGTGTTCAATAAGACTGTGTAGCCAGGGTCAGTGTTGTGGGAATTAAAAAATTTCTGTTCTCACTGAGAAATTTTATGACTATGTTGGATTCTTAGGGCAGGTCTTCACTACCTGCTGGACCGGCTGGTAGTGATTGATCTAACGGGGATTGATTTATCGCATCTCGTCTAGATGCGATAAATCGATCCCCAAACGTGCTCCCCATCGACTCCGGAACTCCACCTTGTGAGAGGCGGAAGCGGCATCGACGGGGGAGCAGCAGCAGTCGACTTGCTGCCGTCCTCATGGCCAGGTAAATCGACCTAAGATATGCCGACTTAGGTTGCATATCGTAAGTTGACCACAAACAACCCCCGCCCAGTGTAGACCAGGGCTTAGTGTAAATATTTGTACTAGAACTTAGAACTACAATCTTGATCAATGATAAATGATCATGACTGTTTTTTGTTTGTTCTTTTGTGGTTAAGCTATACTGAGTATTAAAAATGTAATTTATTGGCTTGTTGCAGCACTTGAGAATAGTCAAGGAGCAGTGTTTATTAGTATGTTTCTCTCCATCCATAGATACAGCCATGTTCACTTTAGGTAGAAGATAATGTAAGAGCATTTGTTGAGGAAAATGTAATAATCATTTCCCTTAAATATATTGGATTTTTAGATTTTCTGTCCTCTTACCTTGAACTCCAAATTTTACATAGGAATTGCCATATTTCAGTGGTACTCAACATTGTCCCTGCTGGGATGCCCTGTCACACATAGCAATATGGCAAAGTAATGAACCCCAAGTTGAGAACTCATGCCCTATAGGATCCAGACCTTTGCCCCACCATGCCTGGCATCTTGACTCTGTGCCACATAGCTTACGCTTCAGAGGAAGAGAAAAAAAATCTTTATAGCTTCATCAAAGAAGCAAGGTTGTATGTAGAGACCTACTGGAAGTGAAGACTAGACATGAACCGAATGGAAAAACACATGACAGTATTATCTTAATATTAGCTTTTTTCCTAAAGCTTTTAGCTCAACACCAGCTGTCTCTGTACTTCTCTCTTTCTCCTTGGCTACTGAGATCGCTTGGATAGTGCCTGTGAGTGTAACTTGGTTACTTTCAGTAATTTCTAATAAAATAAGACCTACTGAGTGAAGTAACTGCTGTCAAACTTTCATAACTTTTTCAAGGCTGTTTCCATTTTTCTTATAAATAGCCCTGGTTCCATTGGTTCTGTTTGTCTGTGTAGAATCCATTTTGGTTTTATCCCATATCACACATCTCATTGAACATATCATTATAGAACTGAGTGAACTGTATCTGCCTTAGAACTGTGACTGGAATAAATCAGCCTCACACAATTGTCATGAAAATGTACCAGCCCTATGTTTATCAGACACCAAATCTATTTACCCCAAGATAATGAAAAGTGAACTCATATTTTGCTTGCCTGTTGATTTGTTTGTCCATGTTAAGTTAATAAAATTTTGCAAGGCTGGACTAAGTCCTTTTTCACTTAAGTCTGATTGTGACATCAAGCATCCTCATGGAAGTGTTCTCTCTAGTCAAGTAACCAAGGATACAAAGTATAGATTTGCGTTTAAAGGCATAACACAACAGAATGGTAATCTCAGTATGTGACATTAGCATAGAAGCTAGGTCACATAATTGGTAACTGAAATTGTATGACGTACCCAGTCAATATGGGGATAATTGAAATGCCCCACTGTTATTGAACTTTTTATTTTGATATCCTCTCTAATCTCCCTTAGCATTTCATCTTCACTATCACTGTCCTGGTCAGGTAGTCGATAATAGATCCCTACTGTTACATTCTTATTAGAGCATGGAATTACTATCCATAGAGATTCTATGGAACATGTGGATTCATTTAAGATTTTTATTTCATTTGATTCTACGTTTTCTTTCACATATAGTGCACTCACCCCTCCCCCCCCCGCCTACCTCCCACGATCTGTTCTGTCCTTCAGATATATTTTGTATTTGTTTCTTCTTCAGTAAGTGTCCCTCTGGTCCCTTTAGATGAATCTGCTCCCCCACGCTTGTAATTGTAGATTTTTAGTAGCAGTGCCTGGTTGGGTCACACTTGCATTGTCTCTGTCTCACGCCACTTCTGGCAGTGACATAGGGCTGTGCGACCAACCTTACCTTGGTTCCTTTTCTACCGCCCTTAGCTTGAGACAGAGCACTTAGCAGTGCCTCTGTACTTCAGCTTTCTCTAGTTTTAACTTTAGAATACTAGTTGGTTAGTAGTTAGTTAATAGTTAGTCAGTAATTACTTACCCATCCCTGTTTATTTTCTTAAAAAAACAAAACCACTTTTTTTCTTAGGAATTTACATTTCAGTTGTTAGAACACCCCTTAATGTAGCATAGTTACCCTCGCTCATGGGAGGAACCCTACTTTGGGGGGCATGCCACGTCCCCGTTTTAAATGTTGCCTCACTTGCTGCTCCTCGATCCGAGTCTGACGGGCACTCACAGTGTGTCCGCTGCCTCGGTGAGACACACATACCTCGAAAGTGCTCCCACTGCCACAACTTGAAAGTCTGTGCCAGAAAGGTGAGAGACGTAGGGCTAAAACTTCTCATGATGGAGAAGTCTATTATGGCCCACGTCCAGTCCAGGATCATGGACCCCTCCGGGGCAACAGTTTCCTACAGCAGCATTTGACAGGTTCTCTTCCACATGCTTAGGGGAAGGAGCACTCTGCCAAGAAGGCAGCAAAGAAGCGGGTTCTGAACTCCCCTCGGGAATCCTCCAAAAAGCGGCGTTCCCCAACTCAGTAGACTCCATTGGTACCAACTGCAGCAAGACGTTCCACCTCTGAGGTAGCAGGACTATCCAGTACCGTGAGTACCACACAAGCAAAAGACCCTAGGCAGGCTGGCTTGGAAAAAGGCAGTAAAGGGAGATCTACATTCCCTGCCTCGGTACCACTGGAGCCGCTCAAACATGTGGCACCGAGCAGTTCAGCAATGGTATAGGCTGTGGTGCCACCTTCTGCACGACCCTTGGAACCAACAACTGCAGCAAAGTCATCGGTACCGCTGGCAACACCTTCTTTGATACTGCTGCTCTCGGTACTGCAACAGTTTCTCTGAAGAGGGACGAAGAAAGAAGATGGGTAGGAGGGATGGAGGTAATGTGGATGGAATAAACAATCTCAATGATATCTAGTACCCATTTGTCTGACGTGATGTTTCGCCAAACTATGGTGACTTTCTCTTCTCTACCAATGGTACTGGACTACATACTGAAACTTAAGAAATCAGGTCTCTCCAGGAGCTCAGAGTACACCTCACAGCAATCATGGTGTTCCCCCACAAAGTAGACAAGTTCTCAGTCTTCGCCCACCTGATCACTAAATGTTTTCTCAAGGGTCTTCATAAACTTTACCCTGAAATATGAGCCCCTACTCCATTATAGGACCTCAATCTGGTGCTGTGATGTCTTACTGGCCCCCTTTTGAACTATTAGTGATGTGTTCACTACTTCACCTCTCAATGAAGGTGGCCTTTCTTGTTGCTATCACGTCTGCCCAATGAATAGGAAACTGCAGGTCCTCATGGCACACCCCCTGTACACAAAATTTTTCAAAAACAGTTACCCTAAGACCACACCCCAAGTTCTTACCTAAAGTTGCCTCCTCATTACACCTGAAGCAGCCCATTTGTCTCCCATCGTTCTTCCCAAAATCTCACAGGAATAAACAAGGAGCAGAGTCATCTTGATAGCTGCCACCTGGCCCAGAAAAATGTGGTTTCCTTACCTCCTGAAGATGGCTATATATCCACCGTGTACTCTTTCACTTCTACCTCATCTCCTGTCTCAGAATGCAGGCCAGGTCTACCACTCGAACCTGGCAAGACTCCACCTCAAGGCGCCACACCCTAGACATCCGAAGAGTTCTAGCATTCTACATTGAGAGGACAAAGACTTTCAGAAAATCACCAATGTTATTTCTCTTCATCATGAATGATCTAAGGGAGATGCCATATATAAACAGAGGCTGTCTACGTGGCTCTCCGGCTTCGTTGACTTTTGCTATCAGCATCAACCATTACACCTACTGGGGACTCGCACACACTCCACCAGAGCACTCTCTGCCTTGATAGCTTTCATAAGAACATAAGAGCGTCCATACTGAGTCAGACCAAAGGTCTATATAACCCAGTATCCTGTCTTCTGACAGTGGCCAATGCCCGATACTTCAGAGGGTGTCAACAGTACAGGTAATCAAGTGATCCTTCCCCTGTCACCCATTCCCAGCTTTTGGCAAACAGAGGCTTGGAGACACCATCCCTGACCATCCTAGCTAATACCCATTGATAAACACTATCCCTGACCATCCTAGCTAATAGCCATTGATGGACCTAATGATACTTCCTCATCAATTATTGGGAGTGGACTACATCCACCCTTCTTGAATTGGCCCTGTCAACACTGGTTCTCCACTTGTGAGGTAACTCCCTTCTCTCCATATGTCAGTATATAATGCCTGCATCTGTAATTTTCACTCCATGCATCTGAAGAAGTAGTTTTTTACCCACGAAAGCTTATGACCAAATAAATCTGTTAGTTTTTAAGGTGCCACTGGACTCCTTGTTGTTTTTGTGGAATCATTTTGTAACTAATGCAGGTATTTTGAGTGGCTGAGGTACATAATTGGGCCTCTTTAGTGAGCAAAAAAAACTCTGAAAAT